CCCGACCACCTTTTCTCTCTCTCTCTCTCTCTCTCTCTCTGCCTCTATCTGACTCCCTGTCTCTCGAACGATCGTGCAAAAAACGTCGCTTGAAAACCCCTTTTACTCGATCCACACCCGCGAACGTCGATTCTCCTCCACCTAAACCGCCTGTCCTCGCGCGTGTGTGAGAACCCTGCCTTCTCTACTTCGCCATAACATATTAGCAAACTCGGACGAATCTACTCGCTACGATCGGAAAGCGTTTGTCTGGTCACTAGCGTCGCGAGCTTTACGACTTTACTCGCTCGTAATTGGCAGCCCGTACCTTGGGCAGATCGCCCCTGTTGCTGTCTTCACTGCTCGTGAAGGTGCTAGAGGTGTCTATGCCGGAGTCTTTGGTCGCGCTGTCCTGACTACCCTGTCGATCGGCCTCCCAAGACCATTCCTCCTGAGGGCCGCCAACATTGGTCCCACCGTCAAAACGCACTGTCTTTTTCCCCCTCCTCTCCGTGAACCTGATGGACACGCCACATACACAGAGACGACCATGGAGGTGATGCGCGCGCTGCTTGCTGTGTTTAATCCGTCGCGGTTATTTTACGCGCCGATCCATCCTTTGCGAGGCTTCACCCTCCCCCGTTCAATTTCCGGGGACCGTCGGTCGGAAAATTCGCTTCCGGTGTGAACGTTACACGCGCGAGCCAATTCGGTCGGATTTCTCATTTCGAGCCGTTTTCGAACAAAGTCTTTCACCCTCTTCCGGACAAGCTCAGAGATATATACAAATTTAATATAAGAAAATAGTAAACAATTTTTATAGAAAAAATATAAAAAAGATATGATTTTCTTCGAGGTATGTGCGCATCACGGAATGAAAATCGTCACCTCGACGAAGACCGCGGGTTCTACGATCGCGGGTTCACCGGAGTCGAACGAATACGCTCGTCCGTTAGGCGCACGAGAAAAGCCTGCGAGAGAAAGCGAGGAAAAGGCTTTCGCTTCCTTGAGAAAACGCACCTCCTACTATCGGCGCGCCACTCGTCGCCGCACCTGCGGAAGCTCCGTCTGACGAGGGTGCTCTCTTCTTTTCGCGGCTCTCGCGGTGGATGGTGGCCGTTATGCTCGACGGTCATCGCGCCAGCACCGTGATGCCCATTGTGGGATCCGTTGTGCCTACGCCCACCATTGGACGTCGATTTCGGACCTCCCGCGTGATGGTAGTACCCCTTCCCTACAGTAGATCGAAAATTCGTTTTCGTCTTTTTTTTCTCCTTAGCCCCCTCTCTCTTTTTTGCTCTTTCTATCTCTATCTACCTCTCCTACGGTCTCCACACGGATCGACAGCGTGCGAGACCTTTAATTTTAGCTATTACGATTCGCCGCGACGACGCTGATTCACCCTCGTCTTTTTCCAAGGAGAATCCTCTCTTTTGTCCTTCTCTCTTTTCTCACGCAAGATTTTTCCGGCATCTCCTCTGCCTGAAACTTGACAGCACCTCGTTCTGCGGCGATCGCGTTAAATCTACGCATTGAGAAACGGAACCGTGTTCGTGTCGCGGAGAATTATCTCGTCTCGAGTCACCTTCCCGGTGCTCCTCTGTCTCTCCTCTCTCCCTCTCTCACTCTTTCGCTCGTTCTCTCCCTCTCTCCCTTTCTCTCTCTAATTTGCGCGTTAGTTTCGTGTAAGAGCGTTTAGTGTGTTATATACGGTACACCTGTCGGAAACGAGGTAAGGCGGCGGTGCAAGCTTGCCCGCGATAAATGTGCGATAGACGATGCCTAAAGCTTTAAGTAGAACCCGTATATATACGAAACTGCCTACATGGATGGCGAGAGAGACGACTAGGTACGACTATGCGTAAATGTGCAGGAAACTTGTGGTTGTGTGTGTGCGCGCGCACGTGCAATTACATTTACGACGAGATGTCCATCTGGAGTTCCGCGTCGGCACGCTTATCTGTGTTTTCTTGGGAAGGGGAGAGGGGATAATGGGAGGACTTTACACCTTGGTCTGTCATACAAAACTAAACACAAGACTGGACGCGAGACACAGAACAGAAATTCGGACCGGTATGGCCGAAATTGGACGAATGGACGAGATACAGAATTCGCTTTGGCTTCTGCACGATCGTTGATTCAGCGAGCGTCGCCGATCGAGCAGCGATATTCCTTTGGAGGAGAGTCCTAATCTAACCAGGGGATAGTGCGTCCTAGTGTGTTTTTAATACATCGCCTTATCAGGCTTTTAAAACCATACATTTTGTAAAAAATACGCAGTAACACATGTTGACCTGAATTTTTACAATTCATTGTTACAATTCATGCAACAGAAAAGTGAATATAATAAAATATAAAAATAAAAGTAACGATTTTTCTCTAAAACCACCAAAAGTTTTGATTGATCGGTCGGTCAACGATTATCGAGGTAGGATAAATTTGCTCGATCGGTCGAAAATGTGTTAAGCATAATGCAATTATTTTGATACTTTGTGTTGAGAACGCGGACAATCGTGCAGATACTAAAGACACGCAACACGGTTTGAGACATTAACATGAAAGAAAAGGGCAACATATAACGGTATCTAAACTGGAGGAGGAAACGTGACGTTACAACTGTCGCGTTATCATCTTATTTAATGACAAGACCTATATGGAGAAAATACTGTAGTAAAAATTATCAGAAAATGTTATAATGCCTGACCATATCGGAATTGTAACGGAAATTACAATGTGTGTCATAATATTTAGTAATGTATATCATATATACATATAATTAGAGATTAAAACACACATAATAATTTCGATAATAATTCCGTAATATAATACAGCGTTACAAACTTTTATAATAATTTTTACTCCAATTTTTTCTCTGCGTGCGGCGTGTGCAAGTATACGTCCGGCTGTGTATATGCGCGCGCGCGCGTATGTGTGTGTGTGTGTGCGCAGCAGGCGAGTGGAAATCTCGAGAAGTGTAATAGATCGAGTTGTGCGTGCGTGCGTGTGTGTGTGTGTGTATGTATATATATGTATGTGTGTGTATTCTGAGAGCGGAGTGTAGATAAAAATATACCTGTGCACGATTCATATAGCCGTCCAAAGTAGAACAAATAAAATCTAAAAACAAAATTACAATACTGCCGATCGGTCGAGCCGCGCGTTCTTTATCTCCCCCCCCCCTCCCCCCTCTCTCTCTTCTCGCATAACAGAATTGTACTTTCCCATGGAGAGAAAATTCGCTCCGCTCCGCTTATTTCTCGCGATAACGTGGGTGTATCCCGCCACGGAAGGATAGTCGCGCGAAACACGAGATAATACGGAAGGATCTTAAACGTAATTAAGCGCGCACCGACGGTATGTTGCTCCGGCGAGATTTAATTTCGAAATTGAATTAGCGACTCGGAACACCGGGGATTCGTGAGGCGAGAAATAAAAAAAAATGAAAAAGAATTACTTTTGTTTCCGACAAGTTACCAACGGAGTCTCCACCCCCATCTCTCCGTCAAACCTCGCGGCGTGAAATTTTGCGGAAATTACGCGCGAGACGTAATCGCGTAACCGAGCCGCGCGCGCCAAAGAGAGAGAGGGAGAGTCTATCAAGATCGGAAAGAGAAATAGTTTATTATTGATCGCCACTCGATACGCGCGACCGTTCGGCAGATACGTACACACACATGCACACGCACAGATATACATATAATATATATATAATATATATATGTATATATATTATATGTAAGTATACATACAATAGATATATATGTGTATGTATGCGAGCGATTATATAATATATAGCGAAAGATGTGTGACTTTTGCTTGGTATCGTTAGATATATGTAATAAAAAGTCATTAAGTACCGCGGGGAATTGCCGATTCATTCTGTCTGCCGCCTTCTCCCGCGAGCTCCTGGAAGTCATCACTAGCTGCTTTTGCCCTAAAAGTCGATCTCCCTTTAACCACGATCCCAATCGCAACGACGACGGCACATCGTCGGCTTAATTACGCTAATTCACGGTAAATGCGAGCAGCGACGAGCGGGACGGACGCTCGTCCGTTCTCGTGGCCTTTGCGCGGCACGTCGGAAAACGAATATCGCGGTCCACGAAAATGCGGCAACGGTGAGCGAAACTGTGTTGGGCGATCAAACACAGTGGACGGCGGATGAGCCGGAAAAACGGAGAGACGAGCGCGGTGTGCATGAATGACTGGGCCGTTTGTGTGAATAATAAAAATATCGTGCGAAACGAAAAAGAAAAGGGGAGAGAGAAGAACAAAAGGGGAGAGGAGGACGGAAGAAAACGCGGAAACGTACTCGATTCAGCGGACCCGGAATTCGAATTCACGGTGAATAGCGCTTTTTCGCGAACGTGTCGCGCGGCTTAGCCGTGCTGAAGGAAACGGGCGATTCATTTTTGTCACTTGCAAGTCGATCGCGAACGCGACGCGTTCTCCTCTCACGTCGATCGAAGCGTGAGAGCGAGGACGTTTCGGGAGGAACGAAAATAGGACGCGCAGTGTATATGGCGCAGGTACGCAATACGGCGACGCGATAAAGATATTTCTCGCGCCTCGTAAGCCAACAAATTGGTTACATGATCGCCCCTCACGAGAGAGCACTCTTATATCATTCAACGACATCCATGCTCCGTACGCGGCGGCGGTATGCGTTTGATATCCGCGGGCCGATGCGCGATCTCGACGTTACGGCGTAACGATAAAAGCAGCGCGAGAGCGACGTCGCACAGTGGTCCTGACGCGGAAAAAAAGGATAGTTTAAAGTTGTAATGTTTCATCCGCTATAAAAGTAACATTTAAGAGTTTTAGTACAAATTATAGCATTGAATGGTTTTTTTACTTTTATTTTCATAATATTACAGCACAAATAATATATTTCGCTTTGAATGTGTTGTTTACATTCTAGTTCCCATTTTCTAACTTAATTCATTATAATGAATATTATATATATAAACTAACGTTATATATGTGGTTAAACGTTAGAGTAACCTTCGAGCGAGAGATAACAAGTTTTTTTGGAGCTTAAGCCCAGCGAAAAAACGAAAATATGCAAAAGAAAAGAAAATTGATCTAAATGTATCAGTATTAACATAAATATATAAAAAAAAAACAAAAAATATTAAAAATATTAAAATCATAAATTATTACAGTGACATACCAGTAAATTGTGTCACGAAATTATACCATAATTAAATTTCGTGGAATGTCAAAAGTTAAGAAAAAAATAGCTACTTAATAATCAAGTCTCGGAAGCGATCCCATTTACAATGAAGATTGCGCACCCTCAAAAAGTTGCAAAAATTAAAATTCCTGTCGAGAGCCATGTTGGTTTGTGCAAATAAATGATAGTAGTTTTAACGTCGTGGAACGTTACACGTTAGAAAGAACATAGTTTGTTGAAAACAAGTTCCCAGAAGATCTCCATAATTCACAAAGTTCAAACGCGCGTTCAGCTACAGAAAGGTAAAAATTTCTGTTGACGATCTCAGCGTTCCGTGCGAGCATAGTAGTTTTGTACTTTACCAAATGTACCCGAATAGAAACAAATAGGCAGTTAATCATCAGATTTCATCGTTCTTTGCAAAAACAGCATGAGCGCGAACATTTACCTAAATTAAAACGTTTGCCAGTGGCTTCCGTAACACTTTAATTTCTGTGTTTTGGCACCACTGTGCGTCGCCGGGAAGCCACTATCTACACACGACGTAGTATCGATTCAGTTATGAAAAATCTCTCGTCCGCGTCTCACGTGGAAATTCTCGCAAAACCGTCTCTCTCAAGAAAGACTAGCGGAAGAAAAAAGGAGGCCGACGAACAGCGGAGCCGGAAGGAGGGACGGACCTTCAGGTCGCGACGAAGGCGAGAGAGACGTCCTAATGCAAAACGTGCGAAAGAGTGCTTTGAGAGCGACCGTTTAAGATAGGCGGTACCTGACGACGCGAGCGATTTCCACGCCGACGACGGTGCTCATGTGTTGTGAGCAGCGGACGCAGTGAGACCGCGACGAACGTCCGTACGAAAACCGTCGCGTCTCGGGAAGTGCAGAGAATCTTAATTTAAAAGTTAGATGACACCGGCTCACCGCGTATAAATCACTCGGAGATTTTGCCGTCCCATTCCCGCCGCCTCACGCCCACTTTCGTCGTCGTCGTCGCGACGACGACAGTCGATCTCGTTTGCTATTCCCCGCGAGGGAAAAAAATTCCGCTGAACCACGGA